ATTTGAGATTTTTGGAAAAGTAGACAGAAATGTAGAAATGCAGGTAAAGATGCAAGAAAGATAACTTTGCAAGATAATATTAAAGCAATGTAAAATACTTTCATTAATAAAAATAGGTGTTTCCAACGTACATTTCTCAGTTTTATCCTTTCTCACACAGCGGTTACTTGGACAATATTTGAGTGACTAGTACAATAGGTTGAACACACTTTAAAAAATACACAGGTTTCCTAATTTATACTAAAAACTAAGTAACCGTCGAGTGATGAATCTGCGCTAAGATGAAGGCAAGTGTCTTCTGCATGTCCCTTGACCTATGGCTTTCAGCCACGTTGCTTCTTCTTAGCCGCTAGCAAAACTGTCTTTCCCCCCAATAATTCAAATTCAAATGTCCCTCGCATCATGTGTCAAAGCGAGGGTATTTTCTCTCAGTCGAAGGTCATAAGTACTCTTCAGTCGAAAACCCTGAAAGTGAGCCCTGGTCGAAGGCTTAAATATAACTTAGATCTTTTTCCTAAGTTATTTCATATGTCGAAACATTCTTCTTGGCTTGGTTTATTCTAGTTTTTTGGTCTAAAAGACCAAATATAGTAGGTGTCGAATTTGGGAGCCAACACCTGAGAAATGACTAGCGGTTGGCAGTCATGAGATTTCTTAGACTGGGCCCAATCAAGCTGTCGGGCCAGTCCAGAACAGTAGCTCCCAAGTCGTTGCTTTTGGGCGCAGGAGCGATGACTTTGAAGTCTGCTCGAGGGACTGGGAAATGGGAGTTTGCCCGTTATAATTATCTGTCGGGGAGGCGAAACGTTTGTTGTTGGGACTTTTGAATTTGGAGAGATAGCGTGTTTCGAGAAACGTTCTGGTCGAGCGGCGCAAATGATGGCCTAGGGTTAGGGTGTCATAATGAAGACCCTAGGGTTCTTAGGGCACGTGTTTGATATCTACGGGCCGCTTCATCTATAAATACGAGAGGAACAGGGCGATTAGTATTTTTCGCCTTCTCCTTCAATTGCTCGTATCAGCTCGACAGTCGACCACCAACATTTATGAGTTTTCTTCGTTCTCGGTCATCCAGCTTCGTCTCTTCTTCTTTTATTGGTGATTTTTCATTCATCCATTATTGCATGTTCTAGTGCTTTCATTTTTCTTCTTCTCTTAGATATGCATGCAATTAGGATTTAGGGTTCTGTTGGGGAGGAGATCGTTAGAGACCCTAGGTAGTGGACGTCTCTCTCGCGGTGCATGGCTGCTGGAGCCACCGGGGGGCTTTCTTGGGGGCCTGACATTGTGTTATAGGTGATTCGTTAGGGTTTGAATTTTTCTGTGGACTCTTGCCCGTTAGAGTATCTCAAGGGACTTCTGGGCTCTTCCTGCGATTTCATCCTGTTAGTGTGCCTTAGTGAGGGATTAGGGCTTTCTCCCGCATCTTGCGCCCATCAGCGTACCTCCGTGAGGGTTCTGGTCGGGGATGCGATCCTTGTCTCTCAGCACCTTTCACTTGTTTAGCGGTGGAAGGGTGGTTTTGGCATTAATGTCGAGCTCATCTATTTCCTATGCTTTTCAGGTGCTATGGCTGACGACGCACATGTTATTATTTCAACTGAGTCCACAGATTCCTCCCGGAGTTCTTCGAGCGAGACTAGTGGTAGCTTATCGAGCATATTGGCAATCTCTAGGGAACAGCAAGACGTGGCGGATCAACAGATGGGGGAGCCCGATATGGGGGAGACTTCTTCGGCTCAGGCGGCCTATTTCCTCCTCGAGATGACGAGGATCCTCGAGATTGGGTAGCTAAAGACCCCTGGGAGTGGCGGTCATACTTTTATGAGTACGGGGAAGACGTTTTCACCATTTATGTTCACGAGGAAGAAGCCCAGGAGGCATGGTCGTTGTACATCCCCGGGAAAGATAACAGGATCTGCTCAAGATACGATAGGAGGCGGATTCCCATGTACGATATAGTTTTCCTAGAGATGGGTCTCCGCCTTCTTTTTTCTGATTTTGAAGTGGTCGTTTTCCGGCACCTGCATGTGGCCCCCTCTCAGTTGCACCCGAACGGGATTGCATTTGTGTGGGTGTTCCAGATAGTGTGCGACTATCTGAAGATTGGGGCTATGATCTCGTTGTTCTTCTATTGCTTTCATATCCAGAGGAGCAGGACTGACAGGCGGTGGGGATGGGTCTCCCTCAAACAGGGCAACGGGAAGTTGTTCGAAGCCTACTTGGAGTCTGTGCGCCATTTTAAGTACAAGTACATTTTGGTGCAACATACATCGATGAAGGCGTTGCTAAACGTTTTTAGGAGCCGGGCGTCTCTCAACGAGGACGGGACTCCCGTATTAACGAGTTAGGGGAGCATACCGCGATGCTGGTCGCCAATCACAAGTAACTCTCTCAATCTTTAACATTTGAAGATGGTTTTTTTTTTGCTATGGGTTCTTATTATCATCCACAACAACCTCTATTCACATGGAAAAAGTTATTATGCGAGCAAGTTTGTCAAAATTGAAAAGGGTTTCCAAGTCATTTTGGTGCTTGAAGAGCTAGGGTTTTGAACTTCTAAGGGCTATATCTTGCTCATATTTTGATATTTTTGAGTAATTCCAAAGACATGCTTCTCTCTAAAGTGTTATCAACCAATCACTTCAAGAGTTTCAATAAAATTTTGTGTGGAAGATGCCTAATGATGAAGAGAGATTACAAGTCTTCTAGATAGGCCATCAAATTTCCTTATGTAATTTCAAAAGATCATAACTTGGTCAATTTTTATCTCCTTGAGACCATTATTTTTCCATAATGATCTTAAGGATGTTAACTTTAACTCTTCTTTTATGTGCAAAGCTTGAAAATTAGTTGAAGATGCCCTAATAAATCCAAAAGATTATGGGTCACCTCATGAATTTTTACCAATTTTACAAAGCCATAACTTTTTCAATACTTGGTATTTTTGAATGATTCAAGTTTAGAAATTCTCTTTGGGAAGTCTACTTCAAGCTATCATCATTGATAAAAGCTCAATTTTGGAGGAAGACCTTGTTTGGAATCAAAACATTATAGGTCACTTTTGAAGAAAAAACTTGAAATGTTTCTAAGTACAAAAATTCAGCATTTTTTTCTCAACTTTGACTCATCACAACTTCTGGATCAAGCATCCATTTGATCTCATTCTTGGAACATTGCAAAGATTGTGACCTTATCTTTCAAAAACTCCAAGAATCATTCCCTAAGACCCCTCAAGTTATGAACACCATGGATTCAAAGATGGTACCTTGAAACTTAAATTTTCTCCAAAGTCAAGATTTGAAATTCATAATGGGGATTTTAAACACCAAATTAGCATGCGTTTTTTATTTAAACATGCTTAACCAAGTTCCAAAAGTTGAATTAAGGATCAAAACACAAGAATTAATTGAGTTTTGAACAAAATCAAGTCACACTTTTCTCATTTTCGAGCTTCCTTTGTTTTCCCTCCAAACTTCACTTTTGCTTCTAATTCTTTTCACCATTCACTTTTCTATAAATAGAGGGACATATTGCATTCATTTTCTCAAGCTTGAACAGTCAGAATCACTCTGCCAAACTCTCTCCATAACCCACTTTTCTACAACTTCGAATTTGGTTTTACAACCTTCCTCAATCCATTTTTTTGTCAATTCTTCATCCTTGAACTTCAATGAAGTTAACAGAAGAAGAATCAAGCCCTAAAGCATCCTAAATCGTGCTAGACAAGTCAAGTTTCAGAGCTCCGAATTTGAGCTTCAATAGGTAGATTCCTTTATTAATTCTCTCAAAATTTGTTACTACAATGAAGTTCTCATCATTCTGATACTAGTCACAATATTTGTTTTCAACTGGAAGTGAGTTTTGGCCATGAATTTTCAAATTCTTATTCAAATTTTTCCTTCTGGTTTTTACAAATCGACGGAGCTACACCTTAAATAAATTTCTTGCGAGGGTACGGTTGTTTTCGTCTTGATGAGACGAACCGAATGGCATAGGTCCGAGCTCCTGATTTTACAGTATGAAAGACCAGCAATTCGCGTGGTTGGAGGTTGAAGATGACCAACGTGTCATCTCTCAATCAATGAAAACGTGCCACTTGTTTTTTTTTCAAAAATCAAATTTATTAATTGATCCAATGTTTTATTTACTAAGGACCATGATATGCACAACGCGCCAGGTCCCTGGTGTCATACCCCAATTTTTGACCTAAGATCCCACCTCCCATCTGTGTCATTACATAGCAAGTGTTCACAACAATTTGACCTATTTTTGCCATTTCTCGAGTCAGATTTCAAAAATTCATAACTTCTTCAAATTTCGACATTTTTAGTGGTTCTTTTACATATGATTCTCCTTGACAACATCCACAACTTTTCTTTACAAATAAAGAGCTGATTATTTTTGAAATGCCACGAAAGAATGAAAACGTTAGAAGTCGCTTTATGAATTTAATGAAATTTGATCATGTCTTGTCCAACCTTTACCAAATCGTGCACAGCGCATATTTTTTCGTCTTTTATTTATCATTTGTCTTATTTGAAAAAATCTAAAAAATATGTATTATAGTTCATGTCACTTTTTACTATCGCATTATTAGAAAAATCACAAAAATATTTATAATTAGCATTATAGTATTTTAAATTCGCAATTCTTAATTCAAAAAAAATATCAAAAAAATATTATAATTTTATTGGTTTCATTTAGATTTTTATTTTAGTATAGATTTTAATCCAAAAAATCTCAAAAAATATAGTTAATATCTTTTCCTTTATTTTACATTTTTTTATTCTTTTTGGTCATCATAGTTTTAGTTTCTTTTAATCCAATATTAATTTTGATTTGATTCTAATTTTAATTCAATTTTTAAAATTGAATTAATATGAAAATTAAAATAAAATTAATTTTGTTTGTATCTTATTTTTATTATTATTATTATTATTCTGTTTTGTATTACTAACAAATTGCCTTTTATCATTATTATTACTATTGTCTTTGTTTTATTGTTTTATGTCCAATAAAGTTGTGGTCCCAAAACCAGATTTTTTGAACTTGCAAAACCAGTCCCTATCCCTGCATAAGTAACCAAATAAAACAGTCCAAATTTGTTGTCCGAAAGGCCCCAAGCTTGCTGCTACTTCACTCCAAAACCTGCATAAAAAACCAGTTTGCAAACAGCCTTTTACTATCTTTGCTGTCCAAAAACTTGCCCAAAATGAAACCATAAATCCCTGCATCAAGAAAGCATAAGGCAGTTGACATAAACTAGAATTCAAGTGATATTTGGCTCCAATTTTCCCTCCGATTCTATTATAAATTCACTATAAAAACAGAAGCAAATGGTGAAGAGCAAAAAGGGGAGATATTACACAAGAAAGATATATACCAGCAACATAGAAAAATCTCTCACAAAAGAAACACCTAGCAAGAACTTCATAAATTTCAGTCTCACTCTACTCACAATGGAACCCTGCATCTCAAACCTCTCCATACTCTAAAAAAAGCTTCCTACCATTAACTTCTGTTAACATAATACACAAAATATTTCCACAGTAGAAGAAAAAAAAAGAAACCAGAATCTTATACAAAAATACCTTTTGCAAAGTCCTGTTTCTGTTCAAAAACTCTATTAACCACTTCTCAGATTCTTCTGCTTCCCTCCATTCTTAGCCGAAACCCACGCAGAAACCGCACGCACTCCGCCAATAGCTGCTGCAAACCTCATCTGCTCAGAGTATCACTGGTTTCCCAGTCCCAGCAGTACCACTGTTGCAGACGCACATCCAGTTCTGCCGCTAATTCCAATGCTTCGATCGCGCTACTTCGTCGCGTCACCACTCGCTGAAGGAGAAAATAGAAGAAAAAAACAAGAGGCAGAATCAGGAGTTCATACCGAAACTGTACAGCTCTCCGACGAGCCCAACAACACGATTTGCCACGCTCAACCGGCCCCCTATCGCAATCGTTGATTTTTTGGTTCCAGTGGTTCAGAATAAGTTCAAAAAAAATCATGAAAACCTTGCAGCAAATCACTCATGAACAAAGTCATATCAGGGAAAAAAAATCAAGAACGAGAAACTTAAATCAACCATAAACAGCACCTTACGGTGCTGCTGACCTCCCAGATCCGTCGATGCCGACGAGGTCATCCGCTACCACCCATATGACCTCCGATGCCGATCTCTTTCTCTGTTCAGCCGACACCCTCCGATCGCTGCCTCTTCAATGCTGCTAATTCTGGTTTGTTTTTTTTTGTTTTGTGTGATTAAGCGATATGAAAAAAGATTGTTGTTTTGCTTCGCCAAAATATCTTTGAGATATAAGAAGAAGAAAATTTGGTAGAAAGAGTTTTTTTTTAGAGAGAAAGGGATAAAAGAGAGATCTCATAGAAAATTTGTGCTCCTTCTGTTTGTTACTATTCTCTTTGTTTTATTTTTAAAGAAATAATAATAATAATAATAATGGTGGCACGTGTCGCTGTGTTGTTCGTTCTGGTAAGATAACTTTGGAAGCCTGTGAACTAAATCAAAAGTAGATCGGTGGAATTGCTATCAGGTTTTGTTTTTGTTTTTATGTTTCTTTTCCTTTTTTATTGTCATATACATTACTGAAATTAGGACATCTCTTGCATGAACTTTGAGTCTAATATTTTTTTTTTGTTGATTTATTATTTCTTTATTTTGTTTTGATTGTTTATTGAACCTAGGCCTAGCTTTTTTTTTTATAGTTTTACAGCCCTATCCAAGATAACCATTTCCACCCTATGTTTTTGTTTCATATTTTTTTATATAATTAATTTTTAGAATGATATTTTAGTTTATAATCCTTTTAGTAATTTTAAGTTAATGTAGTATTATTTTAGTATTTTTAGAAACATTTTTAGTTAGTTTGGAACTATTTTGATAATTTTAGAATTTTATTTTGTTTTAGTTTTATTTTAGTAACTTTAGAATTTTATTTGTTTTAGTTTTGACTTAGTAAACTTTAGAATTTTATTTTGTTTAGTTTTATTTTAATAACTTTAAGATTTTATTTCATTTAGATTTGACTTAGTAAATTTTAGAATTTTATTAGTTTTGACTTAGTAAACTTTAGATTTTATTTTGTTTAGTTTTATTTTAGTAACTTTAGAATTTTATTTCATTTAGATTTGACTTAGTAAATTTTAGAATTTTATTTGTTTTAGTTTTGACTTAGTAAACTTTAGAATTTTATTTTGTTTAGTTTTATTTTAGTAACTTTAAGATTTTATTTCATATAGATTTGACTTAGTAAATTTTAGAATTTTATTTGTTTTAGTTTTAATTTAGTAAACTTTAGAACTTTATTTGATTTTATTTAAGTTAACTTTAGAATTTTAGTTGTTAGTTTTAGTTTAGGGACTTTAGAACTTTATTTGATTTAGAATTAGTTTAATGAGTTTATAATTTTTATTTGATTTAGAATTAGTTTAATAAGTTTAGAATTTTAGTTGTTTAGAATTAGTTTAATATTCTTTTAGAATTTTATTTGATTTAGATTTAGTTTAGTAACTTTGGAACTTTTTTTTTGTTTTAGATTAGCAACCTTGGAATTCTTATTTAGTTTAGATTTAATTTACTAATTTTAAATTTTTTTAATTTAGCTTAGATCTAATTTAGTAATTTTAGAACTATTTTCGCAACCTTAGAATTTGTAGTTAGTTTAGAAATTTTTTAGTAAGTAATCTTAAATTTTTTAATTTAGTTTAAATAACTTCTTTAGATAATTAGTTACATTCTTTTTTATTCTATTTAAATATCTTTGTCATTTTAATTTCTCGATGCTTTTGGTCATTAATCTGTTTCATTAGATTTGTTTTTCTTGTGAATTTTTGAATGCTTATACTTTGTGGATTCATTTTATTTTACTTGCTCGATTTAATCCAAGGGAATTGTCTAATTTTTTGTCGACTTTATGTCATCAAAAAAACATCGTGCGAATACCCTCATTCATTAAAAACATAGGATAATTTTCCCAAATATCCAATTTCTTCAAAAAAACTCACACCCCTTTTAAGTCAAAACTTCAACACTAGGTCGTCGTATCTTCAAAATCTCATCCATACCCATTTAACTAAACAAACAATTTTAACCAAAAACAGATATTTCAAAAGGTTCCTGCGGAGTACCGCAGATGCATTGGGTGCTAATACCTTCCCATTGTATAACCAACCCCCGAACTCTCGATCTCTTTTAGAAACGCATTGTATTTTCATTACTTTTAAATATTACTTTACATTGCATATTTTAGGGTTTTATTTCGCTCTTTTCCCTTTTCCCTTGGAAATAATAAAGCGTGGTGGCGACTCTTGCTTTTGTGAGTCAAGTTAATTAATAGTTTGATCTCCGATTTTCACCGCTACAGAATTGGCGACTCTGCTGGGGAATAAATTGACCTCTTGTTGGTCCATCCCTAAGTGGGTTAAGCCTAATTTGTTTTATCTGTTTTATCATTATTTGATTGTTTGATTATATGTATATATTATGATTATTTGGGTGTTGATAATATTTACAAAGGACAAGTCCTATACCCGGACTAAGTTACACTTAGGAATAGGACGGGCGGTATAGTCATGTTAACTTTGAGGGAGTAATCTCGAAGAAGGAGGCATGAGATCCCCCACTCAGTGGAAGGCCCTTTTGAACGTAATATTTGTTTGCCGAGTAATCGGGAAGACATTATTATTTTCGACCTGGGAGCCAGAGAAGCTGGGAACCGTAGAACCCTAACCCATCTTGGCCTTTTAGGTGTAGCGCGGAGATTATAACGGAGTAATCCGGAAGTAATTGTTACGCGATGCTACGCTCGAATGAGTTTCTCTTGAGAATATTGATGATTATTGAGTAATCAAGACGTTGGTAATATCCGAAGGAGGAATGTAGACTCCGGGAACTCTTAGAACCTTGTTCTACAGGTGTGATTAAACCGTTAGTACATACCTTGGGGGTGTTCTTTACCTTTGACTCCATGCTCGTGACGTTGAACCTTTCAACTTTATTTGTGACCTTGCTTGTGGTTGTTGCATAGCCATGCATTCATGCATCCATAAAACCCTTTTCACTTGACTTTCAAGGAATTTGGAGGTCTTTCTTTGTAGACATCACAAGTTTCGTCAAGCTCAATGGATCTTGGGTGTTGATAGGGTGAAAACCCTAATCCACCAAAATGGATGATTGATCTTGATGATAACTTGATCAACGCTTTGATCCAATTCAAAATTCATCTTCTATCTTCACACTTTAATGTTTACAACTTAATATCTTGAGTTCCTTGAAAATCAAATAAAAACTCTCTTTTGCATGTCATACATCATTCTACATTTTTTGTTTCACTTTCAAAGGTCTTTTTCCGAGTCTTATTTTTCCTTTGGTCTCACCAGTACAACACTCGCGCTAAGAGAACAATGGAGAATATCAAGCAAGAGGTTTCTGAACTCCGTAGAGAGATGACTATTTTGAAAGCTGGTATGGATCACTCAACTGTTTTGGTTGAAATTTTGGTTGCTGCCCAAGTCAATCCTTCTAAGAAGGAGGAAGCGATGATAAAAGTATTCACTGATTGTCATTCAAGGACGTTGGTTTTGAAGTTCAAATCAAGCATGCGCCGAAGAGTAAACATGATTGATGGTGGCTTTGATTTTTGAAGGATGTTTTCGATAATTCAAGTCCAGATGGAAAGCCTTCCCAGATTATTAACTTATTTCTGCTTTTTGTAATTTTTCTTGTTTATCAAAACATTGTTTGCATGTAAGAACTTGTTTACATCTGAATGATTATCTTAATACAATGAGTATGTTTGTCTTGAAGAAATTCATTCGTTTCACTCATATTTGTTTTCAAATTTTAAATTTCTTTTTGCATTATGATACCAACTTGTTGCCCGTTCTCTTGCCTAGGCAGAGATTGAAGGGAGGATGATGATCTAAAGAACACAAAATCTCTGGTTGTTTTCTTTTGGATAAAATCTTGCTGATGATGTACAGGCATTGTTTCAAATCCCTAAACACCGGAGATATAAGGAAGATAATCCCTTGCTAACCCCTTTTGAGCCTTTTAAGCAGAAGTTTCTTTTCTATACGAAAAACCTTGAATTTTAACCTGGGGCAGGGTAGTTTTTAGTTAATCTGACTGAGTGTTCAAAATTCATAAGGAAGATGTTTTTTAAAGAGAAACTACGAGGGCTATCCTTCATGTATGATGAATCTAGAGGATGTGGAACCACAATGTTATCCCTCATTCATCAAGAAACGAGGCAGTCACAATCCTCTCAACAAGTAAATCTAATATCACACGTTTTGTTCAAAAATCAAAAATCAAGAAAAAAAAAGAAAAAGCCTGCTAAGTCGAAAACTTGAAAATGTGTGGCTTAAGCAAAAATTAGGCAATCCCACTGGACTATCAATTCAAAAGAATTAGTTCAGGCAAAAGTTAGGGAAAATAAAAATTGCAAGGAAAGGAATACAAAGAAAATTCCTCAACAAAGAACAAATTGGTGACTACAAACACGAAGACATAAGGGTGGTTGCTACTCCGAAAACCTCGTCGTTTCCTTAACCGTCACAAAATCCTTTTGAGAGATGAACACTCATGTTGAATTAACTAAACATAGGGTTGGAGAACATCACGAAGAATGGGTGGGCACCTATAAATTTTGAGCCTTAAGAATCTTTTTTCTGAAAACCATGAACCAGGCCACGATTCAACCTTCAAAAGTCCTAATTGAAGCAAGGTTATTTTGAAAGCATACTTCAATGAGATAGTGTTCCTGACTCCCATGAATGTTCTAAATAGTTATGTTGGTATCATATGTTTTTCCTATACAAAAATAAATGGTGCTCTAACTCGCAAAATTTGTGCGATATCTTTTCAAAATCTTCAAGACTTACATAACTGTTGCATTAGAATTTTCATTCTCATAATAAAATTTTCTAACTGCAAAACATTTGTTTGATATCAAGGAAGCTCACATATAAGCAGAAGTGATGAGTTTATTCTTTTAAGGCTTGAAACTATGTTGAGTAATTGGAGAATCATTTCAGGAAAAAATCATATCCAGGGGCATGTCAGCTGAAGACCTTAAGCACGGACATGTTGCTTCTCCCAGTTAATGCTTTCCCAACTTCTTTACTCTTTATTGGGGCAAAATTTGAAGACTTTGTTGTGCCAACTACAGTTAATCCGGGGCAATCACGTCGAGATTCGATGAATCTCTCTAAGAGTTTGAAGACACCAGAGCATGGTGAATGCCAGGTCTTTTGTAAAATCCTCTTGAGACGATTTCTCCTCATCAACCATATAGCTTGGGACATTTTAGAAGTGAAGTTATTCGCAAGAATTATCGTGCAACATGCAGCTTATCAGCAGTAAACTTGGGGCATCCAAAATTAGTCCCAGGGGCAATCTAGATTTGTTAAGATATGTGATATGTTTTGCACACATTATCAGAGGGTGGTGTTCCCAGTATCTCCAGCTAAGCATGATTTTTTCCAGTTGAAACATTGTTTGTGTTGTTATCCTTTCAATGGATTGTTGACGATAGAAGACTGGACTTTGGGTTTTCTACAAAAAATATCTTCCTCTTCATAGATATTTAAGCCTTGTAAAAGGACTTTGATCCAAGGATGGCTTTTGTTTTTATCTCCAGTAATGTTACCATCTTGTTGAGATTAGCTGAGTGTCGGGTTGTGCTATGATGTCTTATCATCTTCTGTCTATCTCCTCTATTTGTTTTGTCAGCATATACATAACATTCATTTATTCATTCACACTTGCATCATGCACACACATTGATATTTGTTGATGTTCTTGATATGTATACTTTGGTTATCATATTTCCTCTCCTCAAATAGAGCGTCAACTTAAGCAGAAAGTGTGCCTCCTTTCTAATTCCCCACAGAGTTAACTCTCATGGAAGAATCTTGCTTTAGCTTTCCTTTTCCATCTCTGGATAGGATAAATCCCCATTTGAGTTGTTTCCTCATTGGGTGGAGTCTTGTTTGACTGTTTTCTCTCCAGTTTATTCCTGGATTGAGCTTTGTCTCTTGTGAATGATACCCTGTGGATATCTCTAGGCTGTGAAACCTAGATGAAGAGTGCATTTACTTTGCAATTTAAATACTTGGTCTCCTCAGGAAGGATTTATTCATGGTTCCCCATTGAAGATGAACTTTATTCCCTAGTAGTGTTATCATAACCTTCTTCTGGAATATCGACGTGACAACAGGCGACAGACTCTTTATTTGAGCAGTTTGATTATTTCTGAATTTCTTTATGTTATGACAAATGGCAGTCTCTTCATGAGCAGTTTGTCCATCCCCGATGAAATTTTTGATTCTCACCTCCAGCAATACCTTCACGATATTTTGTCGGTACCTTTGAAAAACAGCAAGCGGCAGTCTCTTCATGAGCAACTTGTGTGTTATTAACACCTTTGAGAAAACAGCAAGCGACGATCTCTTCATGAGCAACTTGTGTGTTATTGATACCTTTGAAAAACAGCAAGCGGCAGTCTCTTCATGAGCAACTTGTGTGTTATTAACACCTTTGAGAAAACAGCAAGCGGCGGTCTCTTCATGAGCAACTTGTATGTTATTGATACCTTTGAGAAAACAGCAAGCGGCAGTCTCTTCATGAGGCAACTTGTGTTATTGTCACCTTTGAAAACATCAAGCGGCAGTCTCTTCACGAGGAAACTTGTTATGTTATTAACAACTTTAAAAACAGCAAGCGGCAGTCTCTTCATGAGGCAACTTGTATGATATTGACACCTTTGAAAACATCAAGCGACAGTCTCTTCATGGACAACTTGTATGTTATGGATACTCTTGACAAACGGAAAGTGGCGGTCTCTTTATGAGCAGCTTGTACGTTGGTACTTTTGGAAGACAGCAAGTGGCAGCTTCTCTATTTGAGCAGCTTGTATGTCATAGTATTTTTGGAAAGCGGCAAGTGGCAGTCTCTTCATGAGCAGCTTGTACGAAAAACGACAAGTGGCAGCTTCTTCATGAGCAGCTTGTACGTTAGTATTTTTTGGAAGACAGCAAGTGGCAGTCTCTTCATGGGCAGCTTGTTGTGTTATTGTTCCCTTAAAAACAGCAAGTGGCGGTCTCTTCATGAGCAGCTTGTATGGAAAACGGCAAGTGGCAGCTTCTTCATGAGCAGCTTGTATGTTAGTATTTTTTGGAAAACAGCAAGTGGCAGCTTCTTCATGAGCAGCTTGTACGTTAGTATCTTTTGGAAAACAGCAAGTGACAGCTTCTTTATTTGAGCAACTTGTATGTCATAGCACCTTTGAAAGATAACAAGTGACAGCTTCTTCATTTGAACAACTTGTGTATCCCCAACAATAATGCAAATGGAATCCCTTTGGAAAAGTCCCGTGGGGAAGTTTGTATTTTATCCTTTTCAAGTGATATCTTGGTCAAAGAGGAATGTGTTACCCTTCTTGATGTAATTCAGAAGTCAGAAATGTTTATTTCCAGTCTCAGTGCTGATGTAAATCAATCATTTCTTTCTCCAGTCTTAGTATTGATGTCAATCATTTCCTTTTCCAGTCACAGTGCTGATGCCAATCATTTCCCTTCTCCAGTCTCAGTGCTGATGTCAATCATTTCCTTTTCTAGTCACTGTGTTAATGACAATCATTTCCTTTCTTCAGTCTCCGTACCGATGTAAACCATTTCTTTTCCAGTCTCAATACTGATGTAAATCATTCATTTCTTCCCTTAAAGTTATTCTCTAATAAGAGTTTCTCAGTTGAAGTCTATGACTCTGTTCCCCAGTGGAGTTATAATCTCTTCTCCTATGGGATTACTGTATAATGTGCTTGGTTTCTCCAACAGTAGTTTGTCTCATGCAACATCGTTCCTCATTAAATTCAAAATATTACATTCATATCATATCATAAACATAATTGCGGTATCTTAAGGCCAAAAATTGTGTATTCTATATTTAAGTCTCTTCGATCTCGTCGAAATGAAGATTCCAATCTTCATATCTCCATATAGAAGAAACTTAAATAGGGGCAGCTGTCATACCCCAATTTTTGACCTAAGATCCCACCTCCCATCTGTGTCATTACATAGCAAGTGTTCACAACAATTTGACATATTTTTGCCATTTCTCGAGTCAGATTTCAAAAATTCATAACTTCTTCAAATTTCGACATTTTTAGTGGTTCTTTTACATATGATTCTCCTTGACAACATCCACAACTTTTCTTTACAAATAAAGAGCTGATTATTTTTGAAATGCCACGAAAGAATGAAAACGTTAGAAGTCGCTTTATGAATTTAATGAAATTTGATGATGTCTTGTCCAACCTTTACCAAATCGTGCACAGCGCATATTTTTTCGTCTTTTATTTATCATTTTTGTCTTATTTGAAAAATCTAAAAAATATGTATTTTAGTTCATGTCACTTTTTACTATCGCATTATTAGAAAAATCACAAAAATATTTATAATTAGCATTATGGTATTTTAAATTCGCAATTCTTAATTCAAAAAAAATATCAAAAAAATATTATAATTTTATTGGTTTCATTTAGATTTTTATTTTAGTATAGATTTTAATCCAAAAAATCTCAAAAAATATAGTTAATATCTTTTCCTTTATTTTACATTTTTTTATTCTTTTTGGTCATCATAGTTTTAGTTTCTTTTAATCCAATATTAATTTTGATTTGATTCTAATTTTAATTCAATTTTTAAAATTGAATTAATATGGAAATTAAAATAAAATTAATTTTGTTTGCATCTTATTTTTATTATTATTATTATTATTATTCTGTTTTGTATTACTAACAAATTGCCTTTTATCATTATTATTACTATTGTCTTTGTTTTATTGTTTTATGTCCAATAAAGTTGTGGTCCCAAAACCAAATTTTTTGAACTTGCAAAACCAGTCCCTATCCCTGCATAAGTAACCAAATAAAACAGTCCAAATTTGTTGTCCGAAAGGCCCCAAGCTTGCTGCTACTTCACTCCAAAACCTGCATAAAAAACCAGTTTGCAAACAGCCTTTTACTATCTTTGCTGTCCAAAAACTTGCCCAAAATGAAACCATAAATCCCCGCATCAAGAAAGCATAAGGCAGTTGACATAAACTAGAATTCAAGTGATATTTGACTCCAATTTTCCCTCCGATTCTATCATAAATTCACTATAAAAACAGAAGCAAATGGTGAAGAGCAAAAGGGGGAGATATTACACAAGAAAGATATATACCAGCAACATAGAAAAATCTCTCACAAAAGAAACACATAGCAAGAACTTCATAAATTTCAGTCTCACTCTACTCAGAATGGAACCCTGCATCTCAAACCTCTCCATACTCTAAAAAAAAGCTTCCTACCATTAACTTCTGTTAACATAATACACAAAATATTTCCACAGTAGAAGAAAAAAAAAGAAACCAGAATCTTATACAATACAAAAATACCTTTTGCAAAGTCCTGTTTCTGTTCAAAAACTCTATTAACCACTTCTCAGATTCTTCTGCTTCCCTCCATTCTCAGCCGAAACCCACGCAGAAACCGCATGCACTCCGCCAATAGCTGCTGCAAACCGCATCTGCTCAGAGTATCACCGGTTTCCCAGTCCCAGCAGTACCACTGTTGCAGACGCACATCCAGTTCTGCCGCTAATTCCAATGCTTCGATCGCGCTACTTCGTCGCGTCACCACTCGCTGAAGGAGAAAATAGAAGAAAAAAACAAGAGGCAGAATCAGGAGTTCATACCGAAACTGTACAACTCTCCGACGAGCCCAACAACACGATTTGCCACGCTCAACCGGCCCCCTCTCGCAATCGTTGATTTTTTGGTTCCAGTGGTTCAGAATAAGTTCAAAAAAAATCATGAAAACCTTGCAGCAAATCACTCATGAACAAAGTCATATCAGGGAAAAAAAATCAAGAACGAGAAACTTAAATCAACCACAAACAGCACCTTACGGTGCTGCTGACCGCCCAGATCCGTCGATGCCGACGAGGTCATCCGCTACCACCCATATGACCTCCGATGCCGATCTCTTTCTCCGTTCAGCCGACACCCTCTGATCGCTGCCTCTTCAATGCTGCTAATTCTGGTTTGTTTTTTTTTTGTTTTGTGCGATTAAGCGATATGAAAAAAGATTGTTGTTTTGCTTCGCCAAAATATCTTTGAGATATAAGAAGATGAAAATTTGGTAGAAAGAGTTTTTTTTTTTTAGAGAGAAAGGGATACAGGTAAAAGAGAGATCTCATAGAAAATTTGTGCTCCTTCTGTTTGTTACTATTCTCTTTGTTTTATTTTTAAAGAAATAATAATAATAATAATAATGGTGGCACATGTCGCTGTGTTGTTCGTTCTGGTAAGATAACTTTGGAAGCCTGTGAACTAAATCAAAAGTAGATCGGTGGAATTGCTATCAGGTTTTGTTTTTGTTTTTATGTTTCTTTTTCTTTTTTATTGTCATATACATTACTGAAATTAGGATATCTCTTGCATGAACTTTGAGTCTAATATTTTTCTTTTGTTGATTTATTATTTCTTTATTTTGTTTTGATTGTTTATTGAACCTAGGCCTAACTTTTATTTATTTATAGTTTTACAGCCCTATCCAAGATAACCATTTCCACCCTATGTTTTTGTTTCATATTTTTTTTATATAATTAATTTTTAGAATGATATTTTAGTTTATAATCCTTTTAGTAATTTTAATTTAATGTAGTATTATTTTAGTATTTTTAGAAACATTTTTAGTTAGTTTGGAACTATTTTGATAATTTTAGAATTTTATTTTGTTTTAGTTTTATTTTAGTAACTTTAGAATTTTATTTGTTTTAGTTTTGACTTAGTAAACTTTAGAATTTTATTTTGTTTAGTTTTATTTTAGTAACTTTAAGATTTTATTTCATTTAGATTTGACATAGTAAATTTTAGAATTTTATTAGTTTTGACTTAGTAAACTTTAGAATTTTATTTTGTTTAGTTTTATTTTAGTAACTTTAGGATTTTATTTCATTTAGATTTGACTTAGTAAATTTTAGAATTTTATTTGTTTTAGTTTTGACTTAGTAAACTTTAGAATTTTATTTTGTTTAGTTTTATTTTAGTAACTTTAAGATTTTATTTCATTTAGATTTGACTTAGTAAATTTTAGAATTTTATTTGTTTTAGTTTTAATTTAGTAAACTTTAGAACTTTATTTGATTTTATTTAAGTTAACTTTAGAATTTTAGTTGTTAGTTTTAGTTTAGGGACTTTAGAACTTTATTTGATTTAGAATTAGTTTAATGAGTTTATAATTTTTATTTGATTTAGAATTAGTTTAATAAGTTTAGAATTTTAGTTGTTTAGAATTAGTTTAATATTCTTTTAGAATTTTATTTGATTTAGATTTAGTTTAGTAACTTTTGAACTTTTTTTTTATTTTAGATTAGCAACCTTGGAATTCTTATTTAGTTTAGATTTAATTTACTAATTTTAAATTTTTTTAATTTAGCTTAGATCTAATTTAGTAATTTTAGAACTATTTTCGCAACCTTAGAATTTGTAGTTAGTTTAGAAATTTTTTAGTAAGTAATCTTAAATTTTTTAATTTAGTTTAAATAACTTCTTTAGATAATTAGTTACATTCTTTTTTATTCTATTTAAATATCTTTGTCATTTTAATTTCTCGATGCTTTTGGTCATTAATCTGTTTCATTAGATTTGTTTTTCTTGTGAATTTTTGAATGCTTATACTTTGTGGATTCATTTTATTTTACTTGCTCGATTTAATCCAAGGGAATTGTCTAATTTTTTGTCGACTTTATGTCATCAAAAAAACATCGTGCGAATACCCTCATTCATTAAAAACATAGGATAATTTTCCCAAATATCTAATTTCTTCAAAAAAACTCACACCCCTTTTAAGTCAAAACTTCAACACTAGGTCGTCGTATCTTCAAAATCTCATCCATACTCATTTAACTAAACAAACAATTTTAACCAAAAACAGATATTTCAAAAGGTTCCTGCGGAGTACCATAGATGCATTGGGTGCTAATACTTTCTCATTGTATAACCAACCCCCGAACTCTCGATCTCTTTTAGAAACGCATTGTATTTTCATTACTTTTAAATATTACTTTACATTGCATATTTTAGGGTTTTATTTCGCTCTTTTCCATTTTCCCTTGGAAATAATAAAGCGCGGTGGCGACTCTTGCTTTTGTGAGTCAAGTTAATTAATAGCTTGATCTCCGATTTTCACCGCTACACCTGGGATCTGATTACTAACGCATTTTGACATTCATCCAATGGTCTCTATTTTTTTGTTTTATTTTTATTTTCTGATTTTTATATTTTAATTGATTTAAACTTTAAAAAATCATAGAAAATCCATTTTGACTCAAAAATTATGAAAAAATTCACAAAAATATTTTCAAATTTTCTCTTTCTGATTTTTATTTTTTCATGATTTTATTTTCATATTTGATATTTTTTATAATTTATCCTTTATTTTAACTTGTTTTTAATTATTTAAAATTATTTTTTGATATTTTTAAATTCTAAATTTTTTTATAAAAATCATTTTCTTTATTTCTGACCTTTTGAAATTTTTCTAGAATTTTAGTTTGACTCCTAATATTTTTTATCCTTTTTTCACTTATTTGAGTGATTTTAATTATTTTAAAAATACTTTTCTATTTTAAAAAATTATCAAAAAAAATTTATAAAATTATTTGAGGTCATTTCTGATTTTTCTACGGTCTCTTTAAAATTTTCTTTGATACTTTGAATATAGTTTACTATTTTACCTTTTATTTTCATTTTAGAAACAATTTAAAAGTCATTTTTCTTTTTATTTTATTCATTAAATGCAATTTTTTAATATATTCTGGTTATCTGATTGTTGATCATAAACTTCATTAACATCATTAGATCTTGAGTATTGAGTTTAACTCCACCAAAATGGAAGGATGATTTTAATGATAGTTTGATTAAATTTTTTATTCAAATATATCCTATCCCTCTTCGTCTTATCCCCCTTCTCTTTTATGCTACATGTTGTTAGAGGATGATCTATATATCATCACTCCAAACATATGACACATAGATTGCTATTGATCGACCTTAAAATAGGTGCGACTTCTACATAAGTCCACTTATGATTGCTTAACATAGCGTTAAATTTTGTCCTGATTCGAGAAATGATCATTCATGGCCCAAACCTATGTTTGCAAGCCCAAGTATATTTAATTTGAAATCTTTGATCTAATAACCTCGAGGTTCATTGTTAGGATACTTTGGTCTTATCAATCCTCTAATGAATCATCATAAATTTTGGACTAAGTGAATCATTTAAATATCGTTGATCATTTGTTGTTTTCTTGAGATTTTGAAATGAATGATATATTGACAAAAAGCAAATGAAACTTGTTATTGAGAGACTTTGATTTTATCAATCTTCTAATGAGTTTTCAAATGTAAGATTCAAGATGGTCATTCAACTAACCTCTAATTTCTAACTCATTAGCAATTTCCTTTTATTTCCATGCTTTTACTTTTTGCTTTTACTTTAAGCACCGTTTATCTTAGCATTTATATTTCATGTTATTTTCATCTTTGCTCACTTAAGCATTTATCTTTATGTCATTTTATTTTGCTCATTTGAGCATTTCATTTTCTTTTTTGAAAGATACCTAATAATCAACTTAAACTATAAAAAACTTTAATGTTACTTGGACTATTTGGTTACTATCCCTAGCATAATTGAGTTGTGGACTTCTTGGACTTAGGAGTAGAGACCTTGACCTACTTTGGGACTCTGTGACTTCTATTGTTATTTTGTCTAGAGTTCTTGAAGTTTACCCCGAGACATTGGGTTATTTGTTCTCTTTGTGTGCAGGTTATTCTGATTATGCGCTTTATCAGGAATTCATTTGTATACAGTCGTTACTCTGCCCAATTTTTTGTGAAGACTTAATGCATTTAAAGTTTGGTATTCTTAAGAGGTTCATTATCTTTGCTTGTTTGGTTTCAATCCAAAGAATGAGAATTCTACATTGACTCATTATGTCAAGTGTTGGCTTCTTGTTGGTTAGACGGTTCTTTTCCCTAGATTTTACCTTATGCTCTAGGATAGTCCCTTCATCTCCTCTCATCTTCTTTAATTTCAAAAATCTTCTCCCTCCTTTTCAAAACTATTCTTGTTTTCTAAACTTGAATTGCTTTCATAATAAACTTGGACTTAGGTCCATGCGTTTTCAAAAATATTTTCTTTAATCAAATTTTAAACAACTTAATAATACTTTGACATTTTTGTGAGAAGACTAAAAGTCAATCAATCTCATTTAAATCATTTTTGCCATTTTGGCTTGTATTTTAAAACTTTTTTTTCAAAAGATTAAACTCTTGTCAATCTTTGTAGTGATGCGAGCTACTATACTTCTACGATATGTAGTGAAGTTAGATATTTTTCACTTGGATGTTGAGCGAGTCTTTGTTGATTTTAAAATCAAAGCTATATCCTCCACTTTGAGATGACACAAATTCTCCTTTCTCATAATCATGGATAGTAAGTATGTTCTTCCACTCAAATAAGACGATGATGTCTCGTCTCTTAAAATTAACCAACACACAAGTGTTTTAAATATTTTAAAGGTGAACTACGAGTACCCTGATCCCCTATTACACGGAAGGTGATACGTAGGCATTAAAGGTTCGCAACTGCGGCGAGTGCAAAAATTATAAAAAATATTTCATTTCTTATCTCCACAATCTATTTTTTGTATACAATATTTATAGTCAAAATACACAAATTTTCAAAGAGGTTTCTGCGGAGTACCGTAGATGTTAAGGGTACTAATATCTTCCATTTACATAACCAACCTCCGAACTTAGATTCTCTCCCTCTCTTTTTGGGTTATTCAATTTTTTCTTATTCCTTTGAAAATAATAAAGCGCGATGACAATTTTATTTTGATCGGTGCGAGTCAAGTCAATCCAATAACTTAGTCTCAATATTT